ACAGGATAGAACGATGAAATTATACATATTTTTACACACGTACTATTTACAACTCTCACTCTAAGCGGTTACCAAGGTACCGCTGCAGCCCCTCTCCTTCATGCCGCCTTGCCAAGGCTACGGACCACCGCAACCGCGTCGTAGTGGCACCTGGCGTGCCGCAATGGACATCTGCCCGGATGTGGTTTGAAGAACACTTCACCTATCCGAACTCGGATCGGAAACCATCACGTGCCCTCGTGCACTCCCCACCCGGGCGGGACAAAGTTTTTGTCTAGCTACAGGAAACCAAAAACTTTACCCACTCGGCGCCGTCTCCGCCACGGGTCTTTATATTCCAGGTCCTGACCCTACTCACTACTCCCCACCCCGCGCGGTAGGAAACTTTCCCTCCTGCCTGGCCCCCGTTTTGAAGTAAATCAGTATGACCTGTTCTCACCCAACTACGGAGCTTCAAACGCCACACATAGTGACGTCACTGTAGTCCACAATAAAGCTCCCCGATTCGGATTAAACACTCAATCACAGCTGAGTATACATTCAAATGCAACTCTAAATAATTCCTCATATACCGCCATTCGCATAAATCATGCTGGGAGCTAAAAATTTTGACCTCGATATGCTGAAAAAGCACCCCCCTCCGTTAAAAATTAAAAAATCGTAAGTGCTTGTATCAAGAAAACTTAAGATTATTTTATATTCAAAGAATAACACGGGACAGTCCTGCAACTTAACTGAAATGTATTTGTAAATGTATTTTAAATAATGTTTTACAGTAAATGAATGAACTGAATAAAAAATATAAACTATTAAGGTTTCATCTGTATAATAAACACTAATAAATTTGTGGTCGGGATATAATCATTATTGCGAATATACTATTATGATCAATTATTAATATAATACATTCAGCCTCAACTATACACAATGATCAAATTCTCATGGTCAATAAATCTATATCATCACTAACAAACTTCTCTTTAGATTTGAAGCATATCAATATTAAATGGCAATTCAATAGCGCAAATTTAAGAAGATATGAGATTTTAAATAATTAACAATATATTAGTTTATTTCAACATATATTTCTAACTGGAACTATTTTTTCCCATTTCTTTCCATTACCGATTTTCTCTCTCTGGAAAACGTCATTTTATGTTCATGGTTCGATCAAAGACGTTAATCCGATCTGACGATAACGACTACCTACCTATAACAACTCACTGCACGTCCTGTCCTGCCTCCGGGTTAGAAAGTGTTGCTGCGCAGAGAAAAAGGAAATAAGCACAAAAAAGCCGAGCACCGTTACTCGGCCTGCAAAACGGAAGCTATTAGATAGACATGCGCATAATTAACCAAGGACCCAAGTTACCCCATGTACAAACATTATCCCTGAAAATATCCAAACTTAATTCAAAAGAAAACCAACGTTGCTTGTTGCTAATTTCAATACAAATTACACCTTAATTAACCCTACACTGGATCATATTCATAAATCTCCATGTACTGAGGGAAAAAGTAAAGAGCGTTTTACACATCAACGTATGGGCTTTAATGACTGTGAATAACTTACATTCTGGGCAAGCATTAGGGTTTACAGCACAATGCAACATACCTAGATGAACCTGTCTCTGGATATACTTATCCTTACATATGATATCAATAAAACCGATTCCTCGTTCTCTCAAATCATGAATAGCCTATTATGCCGTTTGCTGAAGAAAAATGAAAAGATTGAAAATTGCTACTACTCAAAAAATACAAATAACTACTCCCACCTCCCGTCAATCAATTATATTCAGAATAGTTGGTACATAAAATCACCAAGTATTGAGATTTACTTCTATTCATGTAACACTAATAAAATATCTGTTTAATCTAACTTCTTTCTATATCGTGAAGAATACGTTAGCAGACCTCATTACAACACTTAAATTTAGTACGCAATTATAAAAGGAAGTTGTTAACCCATAAACACCAAGTTGATCGAAATTTCTATAAATCACAACTTTGCGTATTGAGCATTATCTTTCAAATTACTCAACCTGCTTGCTTAACTCTCATGTACGTTAGTTATACTTAATACGCTATAACAACAAATATTATCTTTAGATCCCCCAGCCCTCTACCTTGCACTCGGCTGCTGCCAAGCCGTGACGCTACAATATAATCAACACCACTTCAGATGACCAACTTAAGCTATCGGACATGTTACTGATGTAGCCGAGGCTTCTTTCTTTTGTTCAAGTGAACTCAGCTCGCAAACGTTTGGTTTGGACTGTTCTTTAAAAGAAAGCCTTTATGTATCGCGAAATCGGCTGAACGGACAATGCCGCTGATAGGTGTCATAGGAACCCTAGATTACGTAGTACCCACAACGACTGATAATACAATATATGAGCGAAAAAATCGAATAGTCTACTCAGGAATTCTGTTGCGACCATTTGTGGCACCTCGTAAATATTGTTTGAAGTAAATACCATTAAAATGATATTAATGATGTATAAGACGATGAAATCAGTGTAGAATGCATTAAAAATGACCTAAAAGGGTAAAAAAAACAGTCAAAAGCCACGAAAAATGAAAATGACCTACAAAAGTGGTTCATTTTCTTTTGTCATAACATAAAATGAATTTCTATACTAAATGGCTCTGTCGTTTAGCGAAAATAAAAAAACAAAGACATTTCATTAAAATCTGCCCTTAGTTATTACGCTTGGATTTATTTAGAGCTGTGTTTGAAGTAAATCAGTAGTTGTCGGTTTCACCCAAACGGGAGCTTCAACGCCACCATAGTGACGTCACTGTAGTCACATAAAGCTCCCGATTGGATTAAACCGACATCAGCTGATATAATTCAAATGCAACTCTAAATAAATCCTACTATAACCGCTTCGCATAAATGCAGTGCCAGAGCTAGATAATTTTGGGCCCGGGGATATGCTGAAAAATAGCACCCCCCTCCCTGTAAAAATTAAAAATGTGAAAGTTATATCAAGAAACAATAAGAGTTATTTTATTTCAAAGAATAACACGAGTTGCAACGTTTAACCTGGAAAATGTTTTGGAAATGTATTGTAAATAATTTTTTTAAGTAAAAAATTGGTTGTGTATAGTTATTATTGGGTATGTTATTATTCATGACACATTTATTAATACAAATAAATTCAGCCAAACATACAACAACGGAGCAAATGGAATGAATGGGGTCATAGAATCGACAACATTCATAAGACAAAACTACTCTTTAGGATTTGAAGCATATCAATATTAATGGCAATTCAATAGTCTCAAATTCACAAGATATGAGATTTTAAATAATTAACAATATTTATTAGTCCATTTTAACATATATTTCTTAAGTGGAACTAATTTTTTTCCCATTTCTTTCCATTACGATTTTTTCTCTCTCTTGAAAACGTTCATTGATAGTTCATTGGTTCGAATCCAAAGGACGTTAATCCGATCCTGGAGATAGGCGACGTGACCTACCTTAACAACTCCGGGCACGTCCTAGTGCTGGCGCTCTCCGTGGCTTGAAAGTGTTGCTGCGAGAGAGAGAGAGAGATAAGGGCACAAAAGGAGCACCGTTCTCGGGCTGCGAACGGAGCTTGTAGAAAGAATGCGTAATGCTACCCAGGGACACCGCTACCCATGGAAAACTGTACCCGTGAGAAATATCCAAACTTAAATTCAAGGGAAAGCACACGTTGTTGCTTGCTAATTTTACAATTACAATTACACTCTTAATTAACCCATACACTGGTGACTCATATTCATGAACCTCTCCATGTACCTGAGGGAAAATGTAAAGAGCGTACAGCTCACGTATGCTTTAAATATGACTGTGGAATAATATACATTTGCAAGGCATTAGTTTACAGATGAACATACTAGATTGACTGGTCTTCTTACGTCTGGTATCCATACGTAGTGAATATCAATAAAACATTACTCGTATCTTCTCAATTCTACAATGAAATCAGCTATTTATTGGGGTTTAGCTGAAGAGAAAAAACGAAAAGATTGAGTATATTGCTTACTTACTTTCAAAAATATAAAATAACTACTCCCGCACCTCCCGTCAATCAATTGTAATTCATGAATAGTGTTGGTACAGAAAATGACACTAATTGATATTACTTCTATTTATGTAACACTAATAAAATTTGTTTATCTAACTTCTTTCTATAATCGTTTCTAAAGATACCGTTAGCAGACGTACCAGTTACAAACACTGTAAATTTAGTAGCGGCAATTATAAAAGGGATTTGTGACACCATAACACGAAGTTTGAATCAAATAGTTATAAGTCACATTTTGGTAAAAATTGAGCTATTATCTTTCAAATTCTCCAAGTCTGTGCCTTTGTACGTAGTATTAATTTATAACAACAAATGTTAGAGTAAAACAATCCTTTTTTATTATAGATTCCTTATTGTTTTACGGAATTGGAGATTAGCCCTCATTTTGCCTTGGAACTTATTGTCAGTCCGAAGTGGCAAAGAAATTCCTATTACCTATTCCTTGAACTGAAAGTATTATTACGCAACGCTGTTTCCCGCTTTATACTCAGAGTTCATTTCAAGAAATCTAATAATTCTAATACGATTAACGGTTGTTAAAGAAGCGAGAGAACGATATTCAAACAGTACGATTTCGTCACAATGTCCGACACTCACACGACTTCCCTTCAAACTGCTAATGGTTCCCCAACGAGCTGAAGA